GCATCTAACAGCGGGCACTACATCACTGTCAGCATCCAGACCACCAGGGAAAAAGCTCCGGGCCACTCTACTCGTGTAGCGCCAAGATCTGAGCTCCTCTGTGGCCCGGCCCAGTCGCTGAATTATGGCCAAGCCAGGGAAGTATGTTGTAGTGGGAAGATGTTCCAATTTGCTGGGCTTTACAGATAATGGACAGGTACAAATAGCCCAAAAGTTGTCCGGAAATCGGTCATTCAAGTGTCACTTTAACTCTCCAAAAGCCTAAGGGATTGGCAGCACACATCATATATTGTCTACATTCCAACCCTGTGGATGAGTAATCATATGCTGTCTCAGCCCCATTAGGAGTCTAACAGGATTACAATATGTTGAATATTCAGCGCAAGCAAGCACTTCAATGTCCTGTTTGGCTAAATAGTGTCATTTTCAGGTTTATTTTCCCACACAACATCTTTGGGTAGGACTAATTTTTAAATCATCACTATTCAATAAAAAAAAACAACCAACTCTTGACTGGAATTTGATGTCAGTAAAAATTTAGCAAGAGACAATGTCACATTTTCACAAAAAGAAATGAAGCTCAACCTCTCATATATTCACAGTGTGAAGTGTTCAACAACAACAGAGTACATCCAGCATCAATAACAACGCCTGGGAAAAGAGCAAGCATCTTCTTCATGCCACAGGGAGTCCCACGCCTGGTGGAGTTGAACAGAGGGTGTAAGTTCAGCTCTCCTCTTACAACAGTCACCGGTGCTTGCCACAACCCTCAGAGCTGTGTCAACGATGGCTATCAAACACTGAGTTTGACCTTCCTGAAAGGATGAAAGTGAATGGAGGAAAGACAGAGGAGGTGTGTATTGACACTTTGTTTAATGTTTTTACTCTCACACTTGATTGTTCAAACACATCTTTAAGCTATAAATTGTGGTACCTGGGGGGTTGCTGGATCATTACGACCCTAATAAAGATCCAAGAGGTCTCATTCATGAGGTTAACAGACATGTTATGAGGAAATTACGGCTCAGTAGTGTGTGGACAGTCCATTGACAGCTGTGGGCAGCTCTGGACTGCCTCTCCACCTACAAAGTATCAGCTGTCAAAAGGGGTCAGTGTCAAAAATATGTAGTACTACTTGTCTGTGGTCTACTTATGGTTGTGCTGTTGTTTGTCCATCAACCAGCCGCAAAGAAGAGCAAAGTTATAACTTACAAAGTGTTTGCAGGACTGCTTGGGAGCATGTTTGTATTGGGTGAAAACCTTTGTCCATAGGGTCCATAGGCAAATACTCCACAAATGGATACAACCACAGTAGCATAAATTGACTGACCAAGAATGTTCTTCAAGTCAGTGTGCAATGTGGTTTCACCCAAGTACTTGACCATTCAGAAATTCAACAGTGCATCGGTTATAGAGACAAAATGTCTTGGTTCCATGACAAAAATCCAAAGGTGCTTTTCCCATGAGACTTCAGGTTATTGCAGAAAATATACTCTGTGGGAAATGAAGGTATATGATATTTTCACGACTACCTACTTGTTAGCAAAAGGCTTCCCTGGGACACATATTAGCTTAGCCTGGGACACAGGCCTCATTTAAAGTATATCACTTTAAATAGTGGGGTACATGTCTGATGGTCTTTATTTTAAAAACTGACAAAAAACGGACAGACGTAGCTCCACTTAAATGGTCCTATAATGGCCATCTACACTTTACCTCTTCTGCTTTAACTATCAAGTAGAAACAATAGGTCATTGGGTAGCATGTTTGCTGCATCAACTTATGAACTATAGAAATCCTAGAGAAGAAAAAATGGATTAGCTTATCTGGACCTAAGCCAATGAAGACCAGAGAGCTCAGGCTGACTCTGACCTGGCCTGTCGGGTCTTGGGAAAGGTTGTAGTAAAGGTCATGGTCAGCTATACCACTATCTGATATAACCAGCCTAATGGGGGGTGTATTTGACGCTTAAACATTTAAGTTCTGAACACTGCCAAGTCACAAACAATGCTATTTAGAGCAGTCACACTGCTCAAGTCGAAAATGTTTACAAATGTACCACAATATACTTCACAAGGTACTGCAAATTTACTACAAGGCAATGCATCTTAAACCACTTCAAACCACTTTAACTGTGGTTTAAGATGCATCATGTGTTAATGTTGTATTTCTAAGGGTTGGCAGAGAATAGTACAGGCCGGACAGAATTCAGATCTGCTGTGCTTACCCAGTAAGGAGTTTCCTATCCTGGGAAGGTGCTAGAAAGACAAAGGGGAGCTATAAATCATTTGTTTTCTGGACTCACACAGGTGGTGAGCAGCACTGAACTTGAACATTGTAAAGACCTGTTAAGAGTTCAGGTTAAGTTCCACCAACCCCCACATACACCAATGAATAGAAAATTTAGGTCAAGCAGCACAGTGACCTCAGACGAGAAACCTTCAAAAGAAGAAAGAGAGAAGACCCCCTCCCCAACCCCCAACGCCATCCACTTCTCTTACAAATCAGAGAGCATTACATCTAAAGAGGCATCCTTTCATCTCTCATGCAAAAGTGAGGCAGACAACTTTGGTTCATTCAAGAACAGAAGGTGCTTTTACAGGTCATGGAGAAAGTGATTAAACCCAACAAATAACACCATGTTCAATTAATAAGGATTTACAGTAGAAAATCCCACTATGCAAGTCATTCATCCAGCTATCCCACTCTGCTCTTAATACCACCCTGGTCTTCATTTTAACAGTTGAATCCCACTCCCATCTGTTGAAAAAAGAAAATGTCCCAGCCCTTATTTGGCCCGGGGTCTGGTGCTGAAACCTCTGCTTTTATTAAAACGCAAGGTCCACAGCTCTGTTTCAGACACTGTCTTTTCCCTTTTCTTCCATTTCCTTGTTTCTGTTGAAAGGAGACAATGAAACAAAGCACGAGAAAACGTTTTTCTTCCTATCTCCACCTCACTTCTTCTCACCTCATTTCTTCTCCAAAGCCCTTTGACATAAACAGAGCCCATCTCTCCAACTCTCTATAAAGAGACTATCCAGCCTCCCTGGGAGCTTGAACCACAGACAATAAATTCACATTACTCTTGCACAACACTTTCTCTCGTGTGCTGCCTCCCAACCTGACCCAGCTCACTTTTCATTCATTACTTTACCCTCTTTTCCATTTTCTCTCTTGTATCCTTGTCTTCCTCTTTTTTTCTTCCTTTCTTCCTTCAACCAATGTCTTTAATCCCACCTTAATCTTTTACTCAAGCCCATCAGTGCAGTCAGCACACTTGAATGACTCTTTCCTCATTTATACCTAATCCAAATTTTCTAAGCAGAGGGCTAGATGAAAAGAAGGGGTTAAATGTCTTTATTGTCCTAAAGCTCGTAGCAATTTAACACAGACAGACTGATTTTTACAAAGAGACAGAGTAAATGGTTGGTACCAGAGTATCTTTTCAGTGTACTTGTCATTGTGTCTTACTTAATTATTTTATTTTGGAGAAAACTCTGTTTATCTGCTAGAAATATAACGATAACAAAACATCCATCAGTGGCCCAGTGGTCAGACTTGAAGAGGAAAACAAAAACTTGCAAATGTTCAAGAAGAGTGAAAAATAGATCAAAGTGTTTGTACCAACTCATTCAAATGCAATCACAACCCAATCACACTGTGTCCTCGCAGCTCTTTTAAGCGAACGGGTCAGTGGTGTTTTATTGTTAGTGGGAGCTAGCCTAATGAAAGGGACAATGCAAAGATTAGCAGTGCCAGCCAGGCGGCTCAAACTTCACCCTGGCTTTAATTGCTGTGAACAAGAGGAGATGTAGAGGGAGGGCAAACAGAGGACAAAAGAGGAGGGCAAGCGCAGGAGGAGTAGGTAAGACGAGGTATGGAGCTTAGATGATAAATGTAAGTATGGCATTTATGGGGGTATAATATGTCCATCTGGTCCATGCTGGTATGGCATGTGTCAAACACTGAATGTGATCTTTTAAACATCTAATAAACCAAAGAAAATAGTGAAGCTTATAGATGACCAAAAGGCACAAAAGACACACACTGCATGCCACTAGTGGATGTATGCATATGCACATGGACAGATTTCATTGTTTTGACTTGGTGGTAATTAATGCTTTATGAAAAGATTTACATTGTTGCATCCAGCTGTGTTTGTGGAGTCCCTCCCTTGAGTTTATGGCATCACACAGCAGCAGGATCCATATGAGCATCTCCAAAGCAAATTTTTCCAGAGTGCTAAAGTAACTAGGCTATCTGAGCTATCCCTGTCCTGAATCTTCTTTAGTAAAACTCACAAGGACCGTGTTGATATTATCTTGTAATCTGTAATGCCTTTTCCTAAATGTTGACCTATACCATTACTTACAAGGTACACCACTGGGCGAGTGGTTGAAGAAAACTGCCCTGAGCAATGGCCAAAATTACACTGTAACACAGTGGTCAAGGAAAAAGTGATGACATCCCTGACTAAATTATGGCCTTTTCACTGTACTGTCCTGTAGCAGTGTAACTTTTCTCTCTTCTTCTGCTCTTTTCCTTTTATTCTTTCTCTTATGTCCTCTCCTCCCTGTGTTCAAAGCAGTTCCAGACAAAGCACTGAAACTGATGCATACACTCATGGGTAATGATGTCATGTTACAGTTCACCCATGATATGACCAAAGTCTGACAATGGTGCATCAAAACAGCTGGAATGCTAGAGGAGACGAAGCATTCAAGGACAAATAAAGGCATGGAACTTGAGGTAGGGGTGGAGTGCAAAATCTGCTGTGTGACAGCCTTTTAGCTCCACAAACTTATCAGAAACTGAAAAGAAAAATTCCCATTAGGGTTGTGAAATTATCTAAATTGACTTAGAAGTGTTTTGTCAGCCTTTCTTGAACTAAGTAGAAGCATGTAATCAGTTTAAGAATAAAACCATATAATTGAGGTAAAACATAAAATGACTCAGTTTTTCATGTAACAAAAGCTCAGCCAGAGGTTACTGACACTTACCAGTCCAGAACATGTCGATATGGCTGCAGAGGAGGCCGACTGGTTACGGATAAATCCCTGATAAAGGCAGTTGTGAACCTTTGCATCATCCATTACTGTGGTGATGCCATTTGAGCTGATCATCTGCACAGTGAACCCAGGGCCAACCACAGAAGATGGATGCAGGTGAAGGTGCATGTCATGCCCAAAGGCAGAGAGGCGATAGTGCAGAGAAGGAGGCAAGGACCTTTTGCCGCGATGGCTTCGCCTGGTCACATCATGGGTCAGGTACGCTCCCTGAGAGTCCACTTCCACAGGGGTTACAAATACGTAGTCTGATGATAAGGGATGATAAGGGATAGAAAGACTACATCAAAAAATTCTGATGTCAAATACTTTAGCACAAAGACATCATGTTTTAACTACAATTTTCAGTATAATTTAGAATATGCATAATTTGACCAAGTGGTGTCTTCTTCCTTGCTTATATGTGCCAGTGGAGTCACCAAGGTGTCATTTTCATTAAAACATCTCTCTTTCATCATTGTTATTTTCAGTATCTAAACATTTCAATAGTATACCTCTGGAAAAAGTGTTGGGAGTAAACAAAAGTATGTAAATCACATTCTGGAAAGCGGAGGACAGAAAAGGGAGTCTTTGAATAAGTACTGCACTCACTGGTTCATGTAAACAAGCATTTCTATCATTTCCATCCACATAAGCAGTAGTCATGTCACACTGTGTAACAAGTAATATTCTTCACTGTTTAACACTCTGGTCTAGTAACTGATTCAATGTTGGCATTTATCTCACTTTATTCACTTTCTCCCTATAAACATGGAACACAGCCAGCTGGAAGAAACATCCTCAGATGTGAAAAGACAAGCACTCACCATGATTTAATCCGTGGCTGTTGCTGGAAGAATAGCTGGCTGAAACGGTGTGGGAGGCCTGTGAGCAGTAAATGTGCAGCGTCTGAAAGAAAAAAAAATCATAAATGGACAGGTAGCAACAGGTTACAAGCAGCAGAAAACTGGGAGCCAAAAGGGGATATCGAGTTCCTCTACTGAAATATGAGTTGCACTTGAGATTAATTTGGGATCACTTTTCACCGCAATGAATGTGATTAGACAAGTTTGTCGCTGATTTAGTCCTGCTGATAAGAGACAACTGCTTGTTTGTTTTTTCTCCCAAACTACACGTGCATGTGCTGAATTTAAAAGTGCACAATATATATTTTTCGTATGTAAGTGCAACATGCCTTGAAAATACTCCAGGACAAGAGGGTGGAGAGTAGCTTGACTGAGGTGCAGCCGACCAGCGGGATTGGTAAAGTCCATAACAGAAGAAAAAGGCAATCCATGGTGATGGCATGCAAGCTCACACCTCCTCCGTTACCTCCTAAATGAGCGCAAAAGTAGTAACCTGTGGTAGCGCATAGTGCAGTTGGCACGCATTGTTTAGTGGTTCTGTCCGCCTGCTTTGCTCGCTCAGGTGAAGTCGGAAAGTTGCAGAAGCCGGTGGTGCGCGCAGACGCGGTGCGCACACACGAGAGTGTGTATGTGTAAGCATGTGAGCGTGTGTGGCGAGAAGCGGTGGCCAGCGGTGTCGGGGATCACCGGGAGGAGCGCTGACTGAGCATTCAGCTCGGCTCTGAGAGAGTGGGCCTGCGGGATGGAGCACAAGTCAGCGGCCGACAGCCAATCAGCGCGCGGCATCATTTACCACGCGTAGATAAAAGAAGAAAAAGAGATTCTCCTCTTGACAGCGGCTGGGCTGCTGGTGCCTTCAGAGGCCGCCGGGAAATTTAAGCTTTAAAAGTTGTGTGAGCCGATATTTAATCAAAAGTTGGCAACATCAAAGATCTGAGCGGCATTTCGAAAGGCAGATTTTCTTTGTAAGTACGAACTTTAAACTTACAATAACGCAGATTTATTTTCAAATACACCAACAAAGATGAAGCCAGATCCCACTGACGTTTTTGTTTGACCATGGAGAAAAAGAGAGACAGCGATAACTGAAGTAGTTTTACTTAAGAAAACATAAATTTAAAAGAAAATCACAATAAAGGGAGTGCAGAAAGAAAAGTGTGGAAGTTAGGAATTTACGGCAGAATCCAAGGCAATCAGAGAAAACCTCCTTATTGTGGCTGTACATAAACAACTGGCAACAAATATGAAAGATTCCCTGAATGCAGCTAAAGGCTCAAGGTTTCATTATTCTGCTTTGACATGAGAACTGCCCGGGGTCCCCGAAGTCTGTCAGACCATATTAGGTTCCATTTCATCTGCGAATGTGAAACTGTCAGCAAAGTGTTTCATCTTGTGGTTGCAAATGACATTGTGCTTTCATCACATTATACTAACATTCCAACAAAAATAGTACTAAGCGTCAATAAAGCCTGTGCCAAAACAAGAAATGGCCGAGTTAAGACAAATGCACAAGATATAAAAGAAATACAGAGCTTGGATTAAGAAAAGCAAGCATTAAAGAGGTTTTAAGAGCAAACTGGCTGAAAAGCAGTTTGTGCCAAATTGCCACACAAATGAGCACAAATTGATTCAAAACCGTGGACTCGTGAACCAAAATAATTCTGGCAGTATTTGAGGAAAATCGTGCTTTACTGATTTCCCCCTATTTGCGGCAGTGTTAATGACTATCCAATTACAGTAAATAAGGCAAAGTGGTTGCTAACTCTTTTGACATTTAAAGAGGAGGTTGTCACTTGCCTGCATTAATTTGCAGCAATTAATACAATGCATTAGTTATTGTGAATAGATGACAAACACCTTGATATTTTGCTGCACCAACAGAAACATAACTGAAGTATATTGTCAGATCTCTGCACAGATATCAACATCACAAAGCATATTAACACTTTGTACCACCTCTTTGTTTGGATTGAATTATGAATCGCATTGTCTTAATAAAAGTACTAAATAACTGTGTGGGCTATTTAATCTTATGTTGCAAGTATGTAGGAAGTAACTACCAAATCATCTTACACTTGCTTCACTTGCTTTCCTTCAATAATGGTGCGATCCGGGCTCTGAGGAGGCAAATCCAGTACTGATAGAGTTCCACTGTGTGTTTTTCCATCTGGTATGCTTTTATTGTTTTGGCAGTGTGTTTAGGGTCATTGTCATGCTGATAAATAAAGCCATTCAGATGCTTTCCAAAACGTATTGGATAGAGGATCAACTGAATGACTGTACCTTTCTGCATTTATAAGCAGAACCCCAAACCATGAGAGAACTTCCACTGTCTTTTACAGATGGCTCTAGACACTTGGTGTTGTACCTCGCTCTTGGCATTCTTCAAACATATTATTGGAAGTTTAAGCCAAAAAATTAAAATCATTCTTTGAGACCTGTTGTTACTGATTTTCAATCAGATTCTTTTGTGTAATTTGATATATCTCAGCCTTTTCTCTCCCATGAGAATAGTTTCTTTACCGCCAGCCTTCCATTGACACCATTTTTGATGAGACTTCAACAAATAGCAGATCAATCAATGAAGAATCGTGTCAGGTCTTCACTGGATTTTTTTTCATGTTTCGTAAGGACATGACTTTCAGATAGTTTTTAATCTGCCGTAGATAGTTTTATGGCCTGCCATTTCTTCTTTTGTCCTCCACTTGTCCGGTTCCCTCGTATTTTTAAGGTCACACTGTGTCATCATTGTCATCTTTTTATTACATTCATAGACATAGAAACAAATTATGTGGTCGTCTAATACATGTAGAGGTTAAGCTTTGCTATTTTATGCTCGAATGACAAATCTCAGTGTTAAGTCGCTTAAAAAAAAGAAAAAACATCTCTCTAAAAATGGTAAACAACAAGGACTAAAGAAATATCTCCATTAAAAAAACTTAAAAACCTTCAGGAAGGATGGAGAACTATTACTAAAGACCAGTTAAAAGAAAAAAAAATCTAATGCATTTTTCTTGCATTAGGAAGAAAATTTTAAACACTTGTCTTCTGGACAGAACTGCATAATATTATGACAGCAATAATTTTTATAGAATTCTTTCTTGTCTACTGATGGAACTCAAACTATAGTCTATTTGCACAATTCTGATATATAACCCAAGAAACCTCAGACACTAAGTTCAGTAGCACATTTTGTTGTTCTTTGGTGCTCTGTACTTCTGTGCTTGTCTTGTTGAAACAACTGACAGCCGACAACGCCAGCCCTCCAGTTTTCCCCGCACCTTGGAACACCAGCTGTGCCAAGAAAAAGAAAAAAAACAACAATCAAACCAGACAGAGAATTCATGAACCTACGGCAGTGGAGGCTCTCCAGAAGGTAGAAGCAAAGAAAACGAGGGAAGAAAAAGAGTAAGATGACAAACAATCAGTTATACTTAAGTGATCCAGAACTACCAGCTTGTAAGCATATGGGGTATATTACCGTAGCAAATTAACCAGCCTCTGATTTGAAGGGACTCGCAGTCCCATCAATGTAACAGACAAACTGTTAATAGAAGCACATCTAACAGGATGTGCATTACAGACAATACAACAGAGTATTCAGAAAAACTGTCAGAGCATCCAGGACATTCTGGCAGAAGTAAAGATAAAGCTAATAATCAGTTATTCATTAGCTGTTATTTATCTGCAGTGAGCTACATCACTTGACTGTCTTTCAGTTCAGCTCCAAAAACTGTCTCTCTGTCTCTAACATGTTGATTTTTATGTATTTAACACAAAAAGTGAAGCTTGAAGTAATTCTGGGTTGTGGGGATAGTGTGGGAGCAAGTGTACACCATGGTGCAAACTTGGGTAGGTTAGGAAACAAGCCTTGATTACATGTAATTATCTTCTTGTAGTATTTCTTTTTCAACTGATTAAAACAAACAAAAGCACACACACACAGGAAAAGCAGATGTGGTTATGAGATTCCAAAGCCTACACTTGGTGAGGTTTCTGTTTTTCTGCGTCTTGAAATAGTATTAATAATTCAACATATTTTAGTTGAATAGTTTTTTATTGAAGCAGGATAGTAAAAGCTGAAGCTATCTTAAATATAGGAATGACTGAATTGTTGGATCCCATTAGAAGATGTAAAACATCTTCTAAAAAACCTTACTATCCCTAGCATTTTTTTTAATATACTTGGCTTTCAAGACCTTCCACCCAGTGTCCACAGAAATTGGGAATAAACTCTTAAGTTATATGATATAGGTTATTTCACTGGCTTATTACAGCTTATGTTTGTCATTACAATGTAAAATGCAGTTTTGGTGGCCCTAAGTGTCAGTGTAAGTGCCAGTGATTTGAGGTTGCTGGAAAATTTCCTGCACTATACTGCACTTCAGCAGGTAATTGCACTGTCATCCGCGCAGTCTGATGCAGAGTTCCTGAGGAAATAAAACCACAATGTTTCTCTGAGTTCTCAGCAAAGATTCTGAATGATTGTAGATGTAATTGCTCATTTGACACTACAGCGCACTTCTTAGTTTCCATTGCCAGAGCCATATAAAATGCAGAAAATTAGAAAGAGGAAAGATTTGTGGTCTGAGCGGCATGATGTGGTTCTCGTCCTTCGTTCCCTGCTATTTCTGCCTCAGTGTTAATCTTTTTCTCTTAACACGGACGCCTCACTTTCTCTTCCACTTAAAATGTTGTTTGCATTGTTGGTGGTGGCTACAGATGTTTTCAAATCTATAATCTGAGTACTGTTACACCCCAGCACACCGCAGCTTGTTGCACTCTGCCACTGTGTTGAAAGATGATGTGCTTATTTACAGCATACTAAACCCACTGTCTAAAGCCCTTAGCAGTCTCTTCCTTTCTCATCATGTCTCTGCCCCAGTTGGGTTGTTGAGTTACCAGGGTCTGTCAGGCCGGTCTGTTGTTTGTTTCCCAAAAGCGATACAACATATCCAGTTACAGCTGGAAATATAAGCAGTTAGATTTCCTGGCCAACCCAGCTGCCGGGGACCATATTGAGACCACATCTATCCTCTGAGCCTTCTGTACTGGGAACAAGATGTGGAAGGAACCAGAGTAAAGAAACTTTGACAATTTGATGGTATCTCAGAACTAGCAGATGTATTGTACTCAATCATACACAGAAATAATTGTACTTGCAGCAAAACATGCCTGAGAACAAATATTTGAAAGGTGGCTTTCAAAGTTCTTCATCATCACAGTGAAAATAGCCATATCTGCATGACCCAGATCCTCTGTCGAACCTACAATTGCACTGAGCTCAGTCTAATCTACCATAAAAGGGGCTAATTTGAATCTGTAATCTGTGTTATAAAATTGAAACTGATTTGCAAATCACTGTATTTAATTAAAACTAGTAAAAGGAAACAAGTCAGTTGTTAAAAATCTGAATTTTGTTTTATTTGCTGAAATTAAACCCCACTCTGATTTTTAATTTCATACCAGCTGGAACTGTAGTTTATCATTTTTTTTGCATCACCTCTTCTTTTATCAAAATCTTTTTTGGAAAAAAACCACTCAGCTCCACAGCTGTAAAGCTGTAAAGTGTTTAATCTCTGGGCTCTACCAATAGGAGACACTTAGGAGATAGTTAGACAGTGGCTCTTTCTGTGCACTACCTATAGGCAAATCTTGTCTCTTTTTCTCTACTTGTTGTCCAACACTAAAACTAAGTTAACATTTAGT